GAAGAGCGGGTACAGGGAAAATGAGATGCCCCTCTGCAAGGCCTTGCAGGTTCCCAGCTTGTAAATTCCTGAAATAAGCAAGTAATAAATTCTTAGCCATTTTTGTCTCCTTGCTTTAGACTGTTTGAAGAGCTGTATGAGGATCATGGTGATACACTTTCTCTCCAATATGGTGGTTCTCAACTTGTTCATCGGGTAAAAACCTATAGAAAGATAGCACCTTGGACCCAGCATTCTAAAGATATTATGCAAACTCTTTCAAGATACTACAGCAATGCTTTTTCAGGTAAGTGAAATTTTCTCTGCAAGCTAAAAATCTGTGCCTAAGTATCCATCTTGTTGTGTATTAATAATTATCATCAGCAGTCAGTGTTTGCAAAGTGAATAGTGCTTTTTAAAATAGTTTCAATAACTAGCTACATGGTGTGTTAAAATTGTTGTGATAATACTAAAACTGGGTCACTCAAACATGGCTAACAGTCTGGAAGGCATTTCAGTCACAGTAAGCTTAAAACTCAGTGGTATAAACTCCAGATTAAAGGCTAAGGGTAGGACATCACAATTACATTTGGAAATGTAACAAGTAAGTGTCTAGCTCTCCTTTAGGCTAATAATAGAAACATTGACTGGGACAAAGGAAATTTAATACATAGGAATCAGAACTTGCTGCTTTGCAAGATTTGTTGGCTCCCAAAATTAAGTTTGGGCCCTGATAAATGGCAGTAGCCCCCTCAAATAACTGACTGCAAATGGCATTGTTCATATTTTCCCCCCTTGGCTCCCCCTTCCCACTGCTACCTAAAAAGTCACTTCTAAGATCAGGGAGAACATCATGAGAACACTGTGAGGTTTGGTGTGTGTGTGGGGGGAGCAGGGGTGCGCATAAAAAGAAATTGCTGTAATTTCAGATCAAGATTTTGGATAAGGCACTTTTTGTTATCCTGATTTTTCAGAAGTGTTGCTACTGTTTCAGGAGGGAAAGAGAAGAAGCCAGCCCTAGATTTGCCATGCTGTCATTGTCACTGCTGGAGGCTTCTCCCTGCCGTCTGTATCAAAGGCAGCAAAACTCACCTCACAATTCAAAAATAGTGGGCAGACTGGCAGCTCCTGGACTCCCATCAGGCTTGGCTGCTGCAATGGCCATTTGCTCCCCCTATCACCAGGGAGCTTTGTAAAAATCGGTGATTAGAATGCTCCCTCTAAGCTGTGGAGTTTTGTGAGCAAAAATTCTACTTTGTGAGAAACTGGCATTAAAGTTATGATCAAGCGATTTGGCTACTGCATAAATTAGATTGGTCTGAGAATCATCCTTCGTGAGCTAAAACAAAAATGTGTGAGCTGGAGGCTAAAAAACCGTGAGCTAGCTCACACTAACTCAGAGGGAATATATCTATATACTAATATCGAAGTGGCCCCTGGTGTGCGGATACTTAAATCCGCACATCGGGGGCACCTGGGGGGGAGGGAGAAGTTATTGCGCACGTGGGGCGGTCCCCACATGTGCACAAAAATCCTAAATGTGGGAAAAAAACATCGGGGGATGTTTAAATCCCCCCGAAACTCACAGAGCATCCCCTGCGCATGCGCAGGGAACGCTCTGCGACCACCGCTGCCACCGCCGCTCAGAAGCCAAGGCCGGTGTGAGGAAGGGGGGCACGGCAAGTGTGGGGGCTGAGAAGGGGCACGGGACGGGGGAAGGAGGACCAGGATCTTGAGAGGGTGCCCCGGGCCACAGCGCATCCTTCCGCCCCCTCCCCAGCCGCCACCCACACCCACCTTCGGCGATGACCTTCTTGATCCGCAGTTTCATCTCGCCCATCTCCACCACCTGCCCCACGAAGTCATTCTGGTCTCGGCTGGCGGCCCCCGAGGAGCCCGGCCCCGGCCAGGAAATTCAGCGCCGACTGGAGCAGCGACATGGCCGGGACTTGGGGGGAGGGCGGCGG